GAGACACACAGATAACAGTGCGCTGCTAACCCTGAACGTGGCATGAATGCTCCAGACTCACACGAAGGGCTGCCAAATCCTGCACACACAGGAAAGAAGCTGATGTTTTTCTGCACAACTCCGAAGCGAGGTGGAAAGTGCAGGATATCCTGTTCCCTCCCACCCAACAACTCCCGAGGGACTCCGGCTGTGCACTGATAACGCACGGCTAAGAGCCAAGGCACACCCTCTCTGATCTGCTTGGAGCACTCACAGCCTCTCGCTCCAGCCCCAGGAAGTATAGTGTTTGTAAACTCCTCCTGCTGCTGCTGCTGGACGATCAACCCTCAGCCCCCAAGCGGTGGCTCTGGGGCCAGCAGGGAATCTGAAGTGGTTGCAGGATACACGGAAAGAAACCGATGTCGCCGCTATTATGCATTTTAGCATTTATGTCGTGTGCTTTCTCTACAAGAACTATCGGCTGCCCTGCTGGGAGCTTTTTGACCATGCCAGTCTGGGGCTACCTGCATCAGGGGAGAATAGATGTTAACTGTCGCAGGGAAACCTCCACAGTGTCTAAAAGAAACGGCTCTAGAAAGATTCCCCCAAATAAGGGAGTTGCTGTCTCCCTAACAGTTAGTGAGACATGCAGCAGGTCTGCATGAGTGAGATTTTAAATGTTTCTTTGAAATATACCCAGAAAAATCCTTCAACAGAGGAGGCATAGAAGTTTCGTCCTAAGGAATCCTCAAATGAAAGATTAAATTGCCACAAAGGATGCATGAAAGTTAATAGAAAATGATGGAGAAACTCTTTTTTGTTTTTTTGACAACATGGTCAGCAAATGTGCTGAGAACACTTGGATGAGAAGCTTTTATGGTTCAGGAATAAAATGATACTCTCCGTGACAACCTAATCTTTTAAATTGTTTCTGTGCATCATTCTTTTAGATGAGGCATAAAGCTGGTTTCCGGGCTACATGTTGTCATTTAGAAATCTCATGGCACTTTTCACAAGAGTAGGGCCCTGAATCTCAGTGTCCTAGTTAAATTCAGATTGGCTAATTAAATTCTGCCTACCTAAAACTCACCAAGCAGCATCATCTGGAGAAATTACTCTTTGCTTTGTGTTTTTCAATTGTTTTGTAATGTCACTATGTGCTCTAAGACATCTATCATCATTCTCTCCAGAGGCTGCTGCATTTCGATACAGAGTGAAGTGGTTCCTTTATTAAAAACCCGTCCTGCACTTACATACCTGATTTACTTTATGCACTATGAGTAGTCTGGTTGTTTTCAAGGGGATTACTCACATGCTTAAAGTTAAGCACATTTGAAATCTTTGCAATAGCAGTATTTTGACAGCTGCATCGGCTTAAGGCCTTGATCCTGCAATCCTAACCGATCACAAATATCATACAGCTCATCTGGTTCTTCTGACAAGGGATGGCCTTTATTTTATACCCAAAAGTACCTGTACCATAGAGAGAGTCTATTTTTCCTCTCTGTAAATGTAAATTATTAATGTTTTAAGTGATTAATTAGGAAAATAAGGATACATTCCACACCAAGAGCTGATTCTGCAATCCTTACATTGAGTAGTCTGGGGCTATTTGTAAGTGCCTTTAAAATACTGACCGTACAATGGGGCACAATTAGGAATCTTTCCATTTACTTCAATGGGCTTTGGATCAGGCCCCAAGTTAACTTCTCTTTATATTCTGCAATTCATTAACTCAAATACTGGACCTTTAATTCTGAGAGCCAAAGTTCTACAAAAGCATAAATCAACAAGATTCTAATCTATCAAAACTCCAATTCACTTTGTGTTCAGATCACCGTAGCAGGATAAAGTATTTTACATTCAGACCGAGCTATTAACAGTTCGGATCAATCACTATTTTAAAGACCAATTTCTTTCCTAATACTTTCCATATCAATAAGAGAAAGGTTCTTGGTTTTTTTTACAACAGATGCTTGCTTGTGTATACACCTCTACCTCGATATAATGCTGTCCTCGGGAGCCAAAAAATCTTACCGCGTGATAGGTGAAACCGCGTTATATCGAACTTGCTTTGATCCACTGGAGTGTTCAGCCCCGCCCCCCCCCCCCCGGACGCGCTGCTTTACCGTGTTATATCCGAATTCATGTTATATTGGGCCGCGTTATATCGGGATAGAGGTGTATAAGTTTAGCCTAAAGCCTAGAGAAGCCAGGTCTATTATTAATTATTATTGTTATTTACTATTTGTGCTGCTACAGTGTATACAGGCTCCAGTCATGGAGCATGGCTTCATTGTGCTAGACAGGCTACAGATAGGCAGTATTACCAACTGCCACAGATGTATTGTGAGCATCTTGATATTTAATATTTTTCTGAAAGTCCTAGCTCTTGTAGTCTAGTGATTATGTCAGAATCTCAGCTTTTTTTTTTAAGTAAGTTTCTAGCCTCCATGGTGGCAGAGAAAAGCTTGAAAATGTGACATGCATGCACCCTAAAGGCTCAGAAACCAGAAGGCAAATCCTTCCTGTTACCTTAAGAACTCCTCGATACCAACTGCCAAAGGGTTCACTGTTCTGTAAGATTTCAGAAAAAAGAAGAACAGGAGGACTTGTGGCACCTTAGAGACTAACAAATTTAATTTCAGAGTGGTAGCCGTGTTAGTCTGTATCAGCAAAAAGAACGATGAGTACTTGTGGCACCTTAGAGACTAACAAATGTATTTGGGCATAAACTTTCGTGGGCTAAAACCCACTTCATTGGATGCATGCAGTGGAAAATACAGTAGGAAGATATGAAAACAGAGAACATGAAAAAATGGGTGTTGCCACACCAACTCTAATGGGACTAATCAATTAAGGTGGGCTATTATCAGCAGGATTAAAAAAAACTTTTGTAGTGATAATCAGGATGGCCCATTTCAAAACAGTTGACAAGAAGGTGTGAGTAACAGTAGGGGGAAAATTAGCATGGGGAAATAGTTTTTACTTTGTATAATGACCCATCCATTCCCAGTCTTTATTCAAGCCTAATTGAATGGTGTCCAGTTTGCAAATTAATTCCAGTTCTGCAGTTTCTCGTTGGAGTCTGTTTTTGAAGTTTTTGTTGAAGAATTGCAACTTTTAGGTCTGTAACTGAGTGATCAGGGAGGTTGAAGTGTTCTCCGACTGGTTTTTGAATATTATAATTCTTGACGTCTGATTTGTGTCCATTTATTCTTTTGCGTAGAGACTGTCCGATTTGGCCAATGTACATGGCAGAGGGGCATTGCTGGCACATGATGGCATATATCACATTGGTAGATGTGCAGGTGAACGAGCCCCTGATGGGATGGCTGATGTGATTAGGTCCTATGATGATGTTACTTGAATAAATATGTGGACAGAGCTGGCAACGGGCTTTGTTGCAAGGATAGGTTCCTGGGTTAGTGGTTTTGTTGTGTGTTGTGTGGTGTGTGGTTGCTAGTGAGTATTTGCTTCAGGTTGGGGGGACTGTCTGTAAGCGAGGACTGGCCCGTCTCCCAAGATCTATGAGAGTGAGGGATCATCCTTCAGGATAGGTTGTAGATCCTTGATGATGCGCTGGAGAGGTTTTAGTTGGAGACTGAAGGTGACAACTAGTGGCGTTCTGTTATTTTCTTTGTTGGGCCTGTCCTGGAGTAGGTGACTTTGGGTATTCTTCTGGCTCTGTCAATCTGTTTCTTCACTTTCAGCAGGTGGATATTGCAGTTTTAAGAACGCTTGATAGAGATCATGTAGGTATTTGTCTCTGTCTGAGGGATTGGAGCAAATGCGGTTGTATCTTAGAGCTTGGCTATAGACAATGGATCATGTGGTGTGTTCTGGATGAAAGCTGGAAGCATGTAGGTAAGTATAGCAGTTCCGGTATAGCGTAGGGTTACCATATTTAAACATTAAAAAAAGAGGACACTCCACGGAGCCCTGGCCCTGCCCATTCCCTGCCCCAACTCCGCCCCTCTCCCCACCGAACTCCACCCCTTCCCCCAAAGTCCCCGCCCCAACTCCGCCCCCTCCCCTGAGCGCCCCGCATTCCCCCCTCCTCCCTCCCAGCCACATGAAACAGCTGCCCAAGCGCTACCGGCTTCACGGTTTGCCGGGCAGCCCCCAGACCCTGCGGCCGGGCGCTTCCCCAGTGCAGCCGGAGCCTGGGATGGGAAGCGCCCAGGCGGGGGTGCAGGGTCTGGAGGTTTGGGGGCTGCAAACCGTGAAGCCGGTAGCACTCGGGCAGCTCGGATCTTCAGCTGCACAGAGCTGACGTGTCTGGGGGGAGCTGCAGGCGGATTCCCCCATGGCGGCGGCGGCGGCTGTTGCTGCTCCCCCCAGATGGTGATGAGGTTCTTCACAAGCCTGTGTACACTGGGGAGCATTGCACCCCTTCCCCCAAAAATATTATTTGCACAGGAGGGGAAATCAGGATTTTTTAATTACTCTCAGAATTTTTGAGGCCTGACGCGATTTCTGAATGTGGGAGTTGGCAATTTTCCCTCTATATAATAATGAAACGCACAGTCCCTGACCCAAAGTTGTAGGATAAACCAAACTGACATTCTCGTCTACCTGCTTTGCTTGGGTGGGGGTAAAGTTTTAGTACAACCGATAAATAAGGGCTGGTAAAGACACTAGTGGGAACACAGCCAGCTCTGGCTCACCATTGTGTGGCTGTGGCTAACTACACGGCTCTCTCTTTACCCCAATGGCCGTTCTTTGCCAAACATTACAACACACTGGGGCATCGGCTACAAACTGGGATTTCGCCCCAGTCCCACGCACGCAGGGCCCGGCCCGCGAGAGCCAAGGCGGTAGCACAGCCAGCTCCTGGGTCGCGCCTCTCTCGAAGCTGGCTGGGGGGGCCTGGCTCGTTGCACGCGCTCACGAGCAGCGCGGTGCTACGGGGACAGGCAGCACGCGCACGAGCCGGAGAGCCGCTATATTCGGCGGGCTTTAGGACCCAGAAAGCCCTTAGGACTTACTGGGAAGAGCCCCCTTTCCGTCGCGCTGCTATGGCGTCATCGCCTCGCGCCGCACGTCGGCGAGGTAACGCGTGGTTTTGGCGCCCGCGTGGAGTCGGGACTCGTGGCTCAGCTGTCTCCATGGCCGCCTCGGAGCAGCCGACTGCGGCGATGAAGCGGCGGCACAAGGCGCAGTACGTGCCGGGGCAGCAGGCCAAGCGGCCCCGGGGCGGCGGCGGGCCGCGGCAGCTGGAGCTCGGCATGCAGGGCATCCTCATCACCTGCAACATGAACGAGCGCAAGTGCGTGGGGGAGGCCTACAGCCTGCTCAACGAGTACGGGGACCTGCTCTACGGGCCCGAGAAGGTGCGTGCGGCCAGCACGGGCCCCTCCAGGGGTGGCGGGGCTGGGTGCCGCTGGCCTGGCTCTGCTGCCCTGTGCGTTCTGCAGCGGGCCTCGCATGGTCCCCTCCATTGGGGTCGCGCTTTTGTGCTGCTGCATCAGGGGGCCAGATTATTAGCATGGTAATTCGCCCCCCCCCCCTCCTAGATACCTGAGCACACACCAAAAAGCTAGTCCCTGCCCCGAGGAGCTCCTGTGGTGGCAGAGTCATCTGTAAGCAGTTTATTTGTGGCAGCACCAAAGTGAACCCCATACCAGCAAAGGCCTGGGATTGGCTGGGGTTCCTGCGCTCTGCTGGCATCTCGGCCACTGCTGAGATCTGGCGTCCTTAAAGGATGCCCAAGAATGGCAGTGCTGGATAATTTGGGCATCTCTCTTGTCCAAAATAATAATGTTAAGCAACAAAAAAGGCAGCATGTTAATGTTCTGGTTTGTGGATATTTTAGAGCAAGAAGTGAATTAATGTTAAACAGGCCATCTAAATGTTTTGTTGTTGTTAAAGTGCCACAGGAGAACACTCTCTTTAAAAGCGCTCTACAAATTAGTATAAGTGTTTCTTGCAGTGATGGGTACACACTTGGTTTAATAACTCCTGGTTAACATAACTGGCCTGTTTATCTCTCTAAGTTTTTGCCTACAGACTAAGGGCTTGTCTACACTTAATGCTTCACTGAAGATGCTACCTATGCCAACAGGAGCTTCTCCTGTTGGTGTAGGTACTCCACCTCCCTGAGAGATGGTAGATGGGTTGATGGGAGAATTTTCCCATTGACTTAGAGCTGTCTACACTGGGGTTTAGGTCAGTTTGACCCCTGAGTGATGTAGTTATACCAATCTAATTTCCTAGTATAGACCAGGCCTAAGGTTTGCCTATTACTCGCAGCTCCCATTTATAAATTGCTACGGGTAATAATCTTGAAAAGTTTGCTTTCCAAACTGGTGATGAGTTTGGGTTGTTGTTTTTTTTAAAGATGATTGATCATCCACCTGTTACCTAATGGTGCAAGAGACAAATTTTATGTAACATGCTTTAAAATTAAATCACCACAGAGATAGAGAAAATGAAATGATGATTCTCACTGCAATAACTTCTGGTGCTTGTCTTAACCCAGTGTGCCTACTCCTAAAATGTCTCACTACTTATTAACTGTCTACAGTATCACTGCTTGAATTCTGTCTTTTTTAGGCCATGGGTATAGTGGTGGTTGTGACTTTCATTTATTGAGCATTAGATGTGATTTCTTAACCCTTCGGTACCATCTCATTTAAGATGCATCCTCTTGTTTCAACAGTTTACAGATCAAGATGGCAGGTTGTCAGGAAGTGAAGAGGAGGAAGATGATGTTGAAGCTGCCTTAAAGAAAGAAGTTGATCAGATTCGCACTTCGACTGAACAGAAGCTGAGAAGATTCCAGTCAGTGGAGAGTGGAGCTAACAATGTGGTCTTTATTAGAACGCTGGGTGTAGGTGTGTAGTGAAATAACTGCTGCATATCGCAACACACCCAAGCTGCTTTGCAGTTTATTAGACTGTTTCATGGTGTGACTGCCAAAGAAGTGAAGCATGCTGAATGTTCGTGCAGCCTTCCTCTTTCCCTTTTGCTTTCCCATTGAACACTCTAGTGACTACAGCCAGATTGGTTCTGCTTGGGCAAAATAACTGTCTGACCCTTGTAAACATAAAAGGGCTTGATCTTTTGCTGAACCCGGAAAGCATGCAAAAAGGCTGATGTTCCCAGATCCTCAGCCTTGTTGTGAAATAACAAATACGAGCTGGAAGAACAGCCAGTGTATTGACAATCCAATAGACATGTGTATGGTCTGATCTTTCAGTCCTTGCTCAGGTAAAACTGTTGCCTGAGTAAAAAACTGCAGAAGTAGTCCTCCAGTGTTGCACCTTGTTGGGTACTCTCTCTTGTACTTCACAAGCCAGAATTGTGGAAATAATCTCTCCATACTTTCAAATGCCCTACCCTTTTGTAAGAACCCTATCGAATTTAGTAGGGTGCTGTAGAATTTGATGATTCAGTTTCTTTATACTTGTAAGCAAGTAAGATTTGATGCTGTATTGCTTTTTAAAAGGAAATTCTTTCCATTTGTTGCTCTTACTCTGTTGTCTTGTCTTGTAGAACCCGAGAAACTCGTGCATCATATATTAAAGGACTTGCACACTACTAAAAAGAAGAAAACAAGAGTTATTCTGCGCATGTTGCCCATTTCTGGAACCTGCAAGGCTTTTGTGGAAGATATGAAAAAGTATTCAGAGACCTTCTTTGAGCCTTGGTTTAAAGCCCCTAATAAGGGTACTTTTCAGATTGTTTACAAAGCTCGTAATAACAGTCACATGAGTAGAGAAGAAGTAATCAAAGAATTGGCAGGTATGTACTTATCTGACATAGCATGATTGTAGACAAGTGTATAAGCTACCTAAGACTGCATGTGTAACAGGTCAAATTATTCAAGCAAAAAATTTTTAGTAGACGTAAATGTTGCGTTATAGCAAACTCAAGCATATTGAATTAGGAAAGTCTTTCACATTTTTTTCCTTAAGTTCTGTGAAAGTAACCTGACATTAACAACACTCCTTTTTGATATCAGAGGTTTTCATCTTAACAAATCATAAACCAGAAGAGTATGCGGTCCAGCTTTGTTGGATATAACTCACTTGACAATACCATTCCTGCAAAGGTCCAGGATTGTATTAAAAATTCTTTGAATACTGAACATTATATTGGGAAATGTCGATGTTTCCCTAGACTATGACTTAGGTCTGGTCTACACTACAGTTAGGTCAACGCAAGACTGCTTATGCCTACCTAACTATGGAAATGCCTACACTTGAATTTCACTCCTGTTAAGGTAACTGCCCCACTACACTGACTTAATAACTGCACCTCCATAAACAATGCAGAGTCAAGGTTGATGTAGTTAGGTGGACGCAGTGTCAGTGTAGACACTGCTTTGCTTATGTTGACTGTTACTGGCTTTCAGGAGTTGTCCCACAATGCCTCAAACTGGCAGTACAATCGATACAAGCACACCTGGTAAGGACACGTGCCACCAAAATAAGGAGCGAAGTGTAGACATGTACAAGAGATGTAATTACGGTGGCAGCTGTATGCCAACATAAATCAGGTCAACTTAATTTTGTAGTGTAGCCGTGGCCTTAATGAAATAACTCTAATTTCACTTGGCAGCTTTCTCTTTGATAGTTGCTGTGGAATAGTTCTTTGGTTCGAGAGAGTGTTTCTAAGAGTCCCAATCTGTCCTGCTATTTTGACCAATTCAGTGACTGAAAATTCTTGATTGCAGGTGCCATAGCTAAAGTAAGGTGCCTTGTTTTCCTCTGCTTTGTGGTGCAGTTTGTGCTCTGAGATTTTAGTTCCAGAACCAAGTGTTCAGAATATTTGTGGAAACCGTTTTCTTGCGAAATTGGTACTTAGTTTGGCTTGTTGCTACAACAGCAGGTTTCTCTGATTGTTTGGCAGGAAGTTTATCCCCTCTATCGGATTTTTTTAGAACTAGTCTGATTAAAAGTCCTCGCGCTTTAAGTGAGGGCTTAACTGATTAACATAACGCCTCATTTACACTCCGGTTTCCCCACTGATTCTAAGACCGTTTCCTTTTATTTTGTAGGAATAGTGGGCAGCCTAAATCCAGAAAACAAAGTGGATCTTAATAACCCCCAGTATACCATTGTGGTAGAAATAATAAAAAACGTCTGTTGCTTGAGCGTGGTGAAGGACTATGTTTTATTCAGAAAATATAATCTACAAGAGGTGGTGAAGAGCAACAAGGAGGAACCAGTGCAGCAAAACCTGTTGAGTGCTTCACAAGAGGAGACGTTGAAAGAAATAAAACTGGCAGAAGAGGACTCTAAAGAAGTGAAACCAGAAGACAAAGATCAGAGTGAAGAGGAATCTAAGCCCAATGAGAGCGACAGTCAGCAGGCATAGAGAATGTGCTGGAAGGGGAAGACCAACACTAAAGATCACTGTAAAATAGACTGGCTTAGAGTTTTGAAATGGACATTTAAAGGGGAGCTTAATTTTTTATTTTAAATTTGCTTTTTAAAATAACCAAGTATTTAAAAAAAAAAGTCATGCTCCATCCTGTCTTTGCTATTGGAGCCAATGTTGCAGCACACAGTGTCAGAGAATGGTGATATTTATCACTTAAACTCTTCAGCCTGATTCTCCAATGCCTTCCATCTTGTGTGGTCATATATCTGTGCAATGTGTATGTAAATTGTTACCAGTCTGATCTAGTAGCATTTTACACCCACTTACCACATGTAAATAACTACCATGGGGTGCCGGGCTGACTCAACCCCTTTGCCTCTAGACATTCTGAGAAGCCAGTGGCAGAGGCAGGATTGAGAGGTCTGGAAAAGGACAGGATTTTGCAAGGGGATTTATTTGAAAATACAGTGCCATTTTGTTTTGGTGACGTGACATGACTTTGCATACTATGTAAACCTTGTCTTATTAAATACAGAATGAGCCAAAAGCACCTGACTTTCTGTATGTTGTTCAGATGTCTACAAAGACTAGTTTAGAACACATTAACATGTCTTTGAAATATGTTGGGTGGAGAAGAGGAATTGCCACCATCAAAATAACTCAGTATTATAAGCAAACCTCTCCCTCACCCTTCTCCTTCAAATTCCTGTAATTTTCTAGAACAGACAGATGCCAGTGGCACTCCTTTATTTAAGTTTGATGTTTTTATTAAATAGTCTCATTCATTGGTTTTATTTTTTTATTAGCTGTGCTCATGTTTGAGTTAAACCTCCTTCCTAAACTTCTTGATGTGAAAGCAGCTCTCTGTATTACACAGCATCTAGTAGAAAAAGCTTAACTTTTTGTGTGGTTTCAATTTTACAAAATGAGGGTTTTGCCTCAGTTTGAAAATAGCATCTGAATTTTTCCTCTTCCTATAACATTTAACTTATCATTGATAAGTTACAGTATCACTTTTACAAAGACTAGAAACCCAGATTAAAAAGAGAACCTATTTTAATATAGTGCGGCTGTAGCTTGTTTTCTGATAGTATTGTTGCTTTACACTTTTTGTACAAGTGTATGGCTTAGGTGTTTCATGATACACTTACAGCTTAAACCTATTGGTGTCACTAATCGAAAAGCATTTGCTCCAAATAACACCAGCTGGCTTGATCATGATTTAATGAAAAGGACATGGTCTTATGAGTTTTGTTTTATGATCTCTAGTGTTTGTAAAACTGTTTTAAGTTTGAAAATTAAAAAAAATCCTTCCCTACTCCTGTGTTTCTTTCCCCCCTCATCCTGACTGACTTAAGCTCTGCTTTCTCACAGCCAGTGCTGTTTTTCTGATACTTGAATATAGATTCCAAGGCCTGAAGGGACCATTGTGATCATCCAGTCTGACGTCCTGTATAACAGGCCATAGAACTTCCCCAAAATAATTCCTAGAGCAAATCTTTTAGAGAAACATCCAATCTTGATTTAAAAATTTAACATGGTGGAGAACCTACCATAACCCTTGGTAAATTGTTCCAGTGGTTAATTGCTCTCACTTTGCAAATTGTATGCCTTATTTCCAGTCTGAACCTGTCTAGCTTTAACTTCTAGCCATTGAATTGTTATACCTTTCTTTGATGGATTGAATGCGGATTGTTTTATTGTGGGAGGCCCATTATTAAATATTGGTTCCCAATTTAGATACTTAGAGACTTCAGTCAAGTCACCCCTTAATCTTTTCTTTGCTACGTAGAGTGAGCTCCTTGAGTCTATCACTACAAGGCATGTTTTCTAAACCTTTAATCATTTTTGTGGCACAACTCTCTCCGTTTATCAAAATCCTTCTTGAATTGTGGACAGATGCAAGAAGCCTGGGAAACAAGCAGGGAGAACTGGAAGTCCTGGCACAGTCAAGGAATTATGATGTGATTGGAATAACAGAGACTTGGTAGGATAACTCACATGACCGGAGTACTGTCATGGATGGATATAAACTGTTCAGGAAGGACAGGCAGGGGAGAAAAGGTGGGGGAAGTTGCATTGTATGTAAGAGAGCAGTATGACAGCTCAGAGCTCCAGTATGAAACTGCAGAAAAACCCGAGTGTCTCTGGATTAAGTTTGTAAGTGTGAGCAACAAGGGTGATGTGGAGGGAGTCTACTATAGACCACCAGACCAGGGGGATGAGGTGGATGAGGCTTTCTTCAGGCAACTAACAGAAGTTACTACATCACAGGCCCTGGTTCTCATGGGGGACTTCAATCACCCTGATATCTGCTGGGAGAGCAATACAGCAGGGCACAGACAATCCAAGAAGTTTTTGGAAAGTGTAGGGGACAATTTCCTGGTGCAAGTGCTGGAGGAACCAACTAGGGGCAGAGCTCTTCTTGACCTGCTGCTCACAAACCGGGAAGAATTAGTAGGGGAAGCAAAAGTGGATGGGAACCTGGGAGGCAGTGACCATGAGATGGTTGAGTTCAGGATCCTGACACAAGGAAGAAAGGAGAGCAGCAGAAAACGGACCCTGGACTTCAGAAAAGCAGACTGACTCACTCAGGGAACTGATGGGCAGGATCCCCTGAGAGAATAACATGAGGAGGAAAGGAGTCCAGGAGACCTGGCTGTATTTTAAAGAAATCTGAAAAGGTTCAGTGAAGGGCAACTAAAATTATTAGGGGTTTGAAATGGGTCCCATATGAGGGGAGATTAAAGAGGCTAGGACTTTTCAGCTTGGAAAAGAAGAGGGGGGGGGGATATGATAGATAAAATCATGAGTGGTGCGGAGAAAGTGAATAAGGAAAAGTTATTTACTTGTTCCCATAATATAAGGACTAGGGGCCGCCAAATGAAATTAATGGGCAGCAGGTTTAAAACAAATAACAGGAAGTTCTTCACACAGCGCAAAGCCAACCTGTGGAACTCCATGCCTGAGGAGGTTGTGAAGGCTAGAACTATAACAGGGTTTAAAAGAGAACTAGATAAATTGATGGAGGTTAAGTTCATTAATGGGTGTTGGTAAGGATGGGTAGCCTCTGTTTGTCAGAGGGTGGAGATAGATGGCAGGAGAGAGATCACTTGATCATTACTTGTTAGGTTCACTCCCTCTGGGGCACCTGGCATTGGCAACTGTCGGCAGACAGGTTACTGGGCTGGATGGACCTTTGGTCTGACCCAATATGGCTGTTCTTAATCCTTATTGTACTGTAACCTCAATCCTTATTGAGGTTACAGGAACAAACCATCTCAATGTGTAGAAAGAATAGTAAATATGGCAGGCGACCAGCTTGGCTTAACAGTGAAATCCTTGCTGATCTTAAACACAAAAAAGAAGCTTACAAGAAGTGGAAGATTGGACAAATGACCAGGGAGGAGTATAAAAATATTGCTCAGGCATGCAGGAGTGAAATTAGGAAAGCCAAATCACACTTGGATTTGCAGCTAGCAAGGGATCTTAAGAGTAACAAGAAGGGTTTCTTCAGGTATGTTAGCAACAAGAAGGTGGTCAAGGAAAGTGGGCCCCTTACTGAATGGGGGAGGCAACCTAGTGACCGAGGAGAAAGCTAATGTATTCAATGCTTTTTTTTTTTTGCCTCTGTCTTCATGAACAAGGTCAGCTCCCAGATCTTGTTGCAGAGGGCAACAAAAATCATTAGAGGGCTGGAGCACATGACTTATGAGGAGAGGCTGAGGGAACAGGGATTATTTAGTCTGCAGAAGAGAAGAATGAGGGGGGATTTGATAGCTGCCACCTGAAAGGGGGTTCTGTATTCGTAACTTCTTCCTCTTCTTTACCACTTCCCCAGTTTTTGTGTCAGCTGTGACCTTTATTAATAATGATTTTGTTTCCTTCCAGGTCATTGATAAAACTGTTGAATAGCGTAGGGCTAAGAAGGGATCCCTGGGGGACCCTCGCTAGAAACACACCCCCTTGACACTGATTCACTGTTGACATTTACAATATGATACCTATCAGTTAGCCAGTTTTTAATCCACTTAAATGTGTGCCACGTTGATTATATATTCTAGTTTTTTTTAATCAAAATGTCATAGTACAAAGTCAAAGTATATTATATCAACGAGATTACCTTTCTCAACCAAATTTGTAATCTTATTAAAAAAAATCAAATTAGTTTGACAGGATATATTTTGCAGAAATCCATGTTGATTAGAATTAATTATATTACACTCCTTTAATTGAATCCTGTATCAGCTGCTTCATTATCTTAGACGCATTAACTTTAAGGCCAGAAGGGACCATTGTGAGCATCTAATCTGACCACTTGGGCATGGCAAGCGCCAGAACCTCCCCACCCACTTCTGTAATAGATCCATAACCTCTAGCAGAGTTACTGAAGTCCTCAAATCATGATTTAAAGACTTCAGGTTACAGAGAAACCACCATTTACACTAGATTAAGCCAGCAAATGATCCATGCAGATTGACAGGTTGTCACCCCCGAAGTGAAGCCTGGAAGCCATTGGAACCGCTGTGCCCCCAAACCAGTGGTTCCCAAACTTTAACAACCTGTGAACCCCTTTCACTAAAATGTCAAGTGTCGCAAACTCCCTCCTAAAAATGAGTATTTCCAGGGATTTTCTCCTTACCTGAATATAAATTATAAAAGCAGTGATTTTGGAAATTTGTTTTTATGACATGCTTATTACAGACTATTTATTATTTATCATTACAGTATTTTTATTACATTATGAAAACAGCAATACTCTTCCAAGATCTCACGTTCGTAGCTTGTATCGCTTTGAATAAGCCTGTTATAAGACAAGGCTCCTATGTTTCATCAAGGAGCATCAGATGTGAAACAGCATGAAGGTATTTAAGAAGCCAACTCAAAGAGTTCCTTCTACACAAGCATTCAGGTCTTGAGCAGTCCAGGCAAACAACGCATGTTACAACAAAGCTTAAACTTGTTCTTCATAATAATTTTAAAAACAATACTAGCTGCCTATTTAATTTTAAAAACAGCAAAAAAATCCACCTCCTTTTCCATTTCTTATAAGGAGTCTTGAAGTTTAAATCTCCTCAGTGTGATTGATATCTTGCTTTGATCTGCTTATCTCTTGGAAGTCCAAGGGCTCCAGGCTGCTGGCCTCGTGCTGCCCGCAGTCCCTAGGGACAGCTCTGTCTGCCATTAGGGAATTTTTTCCCAAGAACCCACTGTAACATTTCGTGAACCCCCAGGGGTTCATGAACCCCAGTTTGGGAACCACTGTCCCAAACCCTTCAGCTGGGCTGGCCTCTCACCAGGGCTGGCTCTAGGCACCAGCCGACCAAGCACGTGCTTGGGGCGGCACCTCAGAAGGGGCGGCCAATGTTAGGGTGGTGGGGGGGTGCTCGAGGGACTTTTTTTGTTTGTTTTTTTTTTGTTTCGGCCGGGCAGCGCGGGGGTGTTTCGGCGGCGCGGTGCTGGGGGGGGGGCGCGGCGCGTGGGGGGGGGAAGGGAGGGGTTTGCCAGCCCGGCACTCTGCTCCACTCCGTTCCGAGGCCGGCGGGG